CCCCAAAACCCCAAAACCCCAAAACCCCAAAACCCCAAAACCCCGAGATTTAAAAGATCGATGGAAGGTATTTTAAATATAATTTAAATAATGATGGAGGAAAGTTCAGATCCCAAACCTTATAAAGGAAATTGGGCTGACTCTTTAGGGTCAATAGTTGATAAAACTGAACAGAATTTGTATGGAAATCTATCAAAACCTAAAACAGAACAATCCCACAGTTTTATGGAAGACTATAATAACTGAATAGATCATGGAGTTTATCCAATAAATATAAATAATTTCTTGACATCTCCAAAAAGAACCCAAATTGGAATTATTCAAGATAAAGAAAAGATGTATCTCGAAGAGCAATTCAAGAAAGATGTAGTGAACAACATCGAGACTCTCGACAAATAAGTTCTACAAAGAAACTGACTACTGAAAAGATGAAATAGATACTCTCAAAGCTCAAGTGCGGATTCTTTCTCAAAAAGTCAACAACAACCGGACTGAGAACGAAGTCTTCCAGGACAACTGTCGAGAATTCATGCATGAAAAGTTCATCGAGTTGGAAGCTAAACAGAAGAACTACGAAGACAAAGTCCGCATTGACGTTGACCAGCGTTTAGAAGAGTACGAGACCCATATGGAGAAGTTCTCAGTCGGCCTTAAAGAACTCAAGGAGATTCGCAACCTCATCGACCCGACCATTGAAGAAGAAATTGAACGCATCAACCAGATCTACGAGTTGAAACTGGAGAACACCATCAACAAGACCGAGAGGCTCAACAAGCAGGTGTCTGAAAACAAGAAGTCTCTCGACGAAATCCTTGACAAATACCAAGTCGAGATCGAAGTTATGAAGAACAACTTTCTGAACACGGCTGAACTCCAGAATAAGAGGATCCAAGGAGCCTTTGATGAGCAAAACGATGTGCTTGAAGCGTTCAATGGAGACATCAAGACTTTAGAAGACAAATTCAAATCTTTCCACACAGACTACATCGAAAACACCGACTCTTCCATGAAGAGCCTGAATCAAATGGTCGTCGACACCAAGAAGGTGATGGACAGGTACAAAACTCAAATCGACACGAAGCTTGACGACTGGGATGTAGCAAGGCACAGGAGTGAACTCGAATTAGAGTCCAAGGTAACCAACTTCATAGTCAAAGCTTACTGATTATAGCTTCAACAAGCGACTTCTTCAGCGGTTCCAGAGGCATCCGCTCTTGAATTCGAAAAGCTCAAGAGCGCAGTGGAAGCGAGAATAGACGCCATCACCAACGCCAACAAGAACCTTGAAAGCGAAATCAGAGAACTCGTTGGTGTTGTCAAACTGCTCGACAACGAACGCATCCAAGACGGCAAAGTTTCAGACGAGTTACAGAACCGGATGAAACTTCTCGAAGAGGACATGAACAAGTATGAAGAAATGATCAACGATTCCATTCAGATTAACCATGAGCGACAAGAAGAGTTTTATAGTGGAGTCTTGCTTAACTTCGATGAATTCAAACATGCTTCTGTCGAAGACTTCAACACACTCAATAAAAGAATAAACTTGATTATTCCTGCTCTTGACCAGATAACGGACTTGGAACAAGAAATTGAGCTTCTGAAGAAAAGACAAAGACCCAAAACCAGTTACAACAAGAAGGATATAAGGTCTCCGCTTACAAGTGTCATGCAAAATGTTGAAATCGAAAAGAAGCATATGCATCTTTCTGGCTCAAAATCTCGTGAACGAAGAGACCAAAATTACACCACCACAAGAAATAGGAGAGGAGAATACCAAAGAGAACATCAGAGAGAACAGATAGAAGACAGTTATGAACACGAACACTCCAGAGATCTCTCTCGTGATCGCTCTAGAGATTTCTCGCCAGTTGAAGAGCTCATCAAAAGAGACCAATACTCCAAAAAGAAGCTCGACATTCTTCGCCAATCTGAACTCAAAGTTTCAAGTGTCAGAGGTAGTAGTAAGCGGAAGTTCCCCAAAACAGAGAAAGACAATGACGCCTCAAACGAGTCAAACGTGACTTTCACAGGTATTTTTGGTAATAATTGGCAGGAATGTACAAAGACCCTTCCAGACCAAACATAAAGTCAGACCCACAGAACATTTCCCAGCCGAGTCTCAACAAACACGATCTTTCTAATATTTCAGACTCAAAGAGGCAAAATTTCAAAGATTCTTCACGACTTAAATCTAAGAATATAAGTAACATTTAAAATTAAGTTTAGTTTCTGCTCCGATAATTGGCCATCAAAGAAGCCAAGAAGAAACAAAAACTCATGGAATCGATCATGTCAGGGTAATCTCCCTCTAATCTTTAGAGCAAAGATCAAGAAAGCTCAACTAAGCACTACATGTCTTCCCAAGTGACTCTTATTGGGCCACAGGAAGCCACAGACCCAGACGATGAAGAAGGAGAGTTTACTAGGTATGCTCGGTTAAAATTAGGAAAAAACTCTCATTAAACTTTTAAGGCTCAATCTGTATTTAAACTTATTGTTTTTACCTTTATTCAAAATTACCTCCATTCTATTTTGATTTTGTGTAATCTGTTTCATAGTGAAATGACTTCAAGCGAGCAATCAGCTCAAGAAGCTAGAGGGCACATAAATATTAAGGCTATCCAGCAAGCAAAGAGAGTAAAGGAATGCATAATGTTTAGGAAAAAGAAATTCAAGAGATGAATAGAATCAAAGAAAAACAGGTCAGATATAATAAAATGACTCTTACTTTTATCAAACTATATTGAGCATTTCATCATATTTATGGAATTTATACTAGTCTATCGCCAAGTATAAATTTTAGAACTTGGACAATAAGAACATTAACATTTTAAAATAGATAAGGGAAGAAAGACAGCAAAAAGAGATTGAAAAGAGAGCACAAAGAGAAGCAGAAAAAAGAAAAAGACAGAAGATTAAAGAAAAGGAAGATGTAATCAGAAGAAAAGAACAACAAGAACTTGAGATTAGGATTCAAAAACAGAAAGAAGAAGATGAAAGACTAAAGAAGGAAAAAGAAAAACAAAAGAAAAATGAAGAGAATCAAAATAATAACCCCTCTGTAGTTATCCCTGGATGGAATTAGAGTAAAGATTTTCAATGTATCTGGCCTATTGCGGGGTTTTGGGGTTTTGGGGTTTTGGGGTTTTGGGG